GTGTGTGATTATTTGTGTAGGCTATCACAGGTTAGTTAAGTCATAAACTTTACTTTGAGTTCAAGGTCTTTGTAGATGTGTGGTCGTAATAGGCTTAGCAAATATGAGCATCTTGAGAAGTGGAAGCCTGCACAAAACACACTCACTGTGCAATACACTCACTCACTGTGCATGGTTTAAACTGAAACTTAGTTAAATTAGGAAAAGTTAGGCCTAGGTCCTGCAATACCCTGGAAGATTTCCTCAGATACAGCAGCGCCTCCTAGAACATGCCTGCGCTCCAGAACTGCTGTCTTCACTCCTCCTTTTTGAAGATATGCTGCCTACGCAGTTAATAACACAAAGCAAGTTATTTTAAATCGCCTTGCAACTTGAATAAAATCACCTACATACGCCAACTCACAGCCACCAGCCCATTGTGACCTGCACAAAATAGCAAGGGTCACTAAGCAGAAAGTGCAAAGATTCTGTGATGTACGCTAAATATTATGTTTTCTGCGATCATTTTACCTCCTCCGATGACGAGCGCATCATACTGCGACTTTAAGGGTTTGTGGCTGTAAGTGGAGCAAGCTCTGGTCAGGGACTCCGCAGCCCGTCTACCTTTACTGCACGCCGCTGCAGCCATGGCATTAGAAGAAAGTTTGGATCCAAGCAGTGAGGCAGGCCTATAGCAGCAGCAGCTTCACAGTGAATAGACTTTGATCGCGCCTCAGCTTGGGAAAACGTGGCCTGGGAACAAGGCTCCACTGTACGCGTATTTCGCCCTACGCACGCGTAAAAACTGAAACTTTTGGACGCGTAATTTTTAGAATGAATTAAAAGGGAATGAGGGCGGTCCCACTGCCTGCGCGAGGCGCACAGTATCTGGAGCAGTACGTCATGCGCGCGTAGAAAATAAGGTCCATATGCACAACGTGTTCCTGGGGCAGTTATGTATCATTTGAAAGAGCTCAGGTTCAGAAAGACTATTCATTAGTGCTTTGTTTGTCAGTCTGTTCAGAAGGTAAATACAAGGCTGTTCAGCTGGTTACTTAGTACACTGTATATGTGGCTTTCCCATTTATAAACACCGAGCCAGTGCAGCGCGTATACGTCCAATTAGCCGGTGGAACCGTCGTCTGCGTCGACGTGAGCCAGGGAGTCCTGACCAAGACTAGCTCAAAATCTGGAGGTGGGGCCACTGCCCCCGCTGAGGTGCCCCAGCAGTTAAGAGGAATGCAGAGAACATTTTTTGTACTAACTGCGTAAATGGGTCATTTACACACCATTTGCAAATGCAACCATTTGCACATGCGAAATGTCACATGTGAAACAGAGTAGTATATATTTCAGTCCATACAGTGGACCACTACTTTGTACTTCTACTTGAGTAATATTATTTTGTAACGTTACTGCTTACTTTGATACTCGACCCGATTTATAAATTCCACACTGTATTTCGATAAAGCCTATTACTGAATGTCGTGACTGTTCAGTTTCTGTTACCGTGTTGTAAAGAGATAAATAAACCCCTGAGAGCAAAAGGCACTAGTCAATAGGGGGCAGCATTACGCATCTGTGCCACAGACAGTAGATGTTTCTCAGTTCCTAGGAATCCTTCCTCCAAAGATCGCTTTGAAGCACTCCTCTGGGGTCGAAGCAGTGCTTCGTCTACCGACGTGTACCTCCACCTCCGAAATTTTCTACGTGTCGAAACGACGCAGACAGCTGGGGGAAGCGATGCAGGCAGTGATTGGTCCTCTCTACCACAGCTCTACATACAGTAGGCCTAGGCCCTACATACATTCCGGTACTCCGCTTTCCTGCTTCTTTTTGTATACATCAGGGGTTGATGGGCAAGCCGCGGCTGCAGAGCCGTATGTGGCTCTTTCATCCTTCTGTTGTGGTTCCCTGTGACTTTGGAAAATAAATAATGAGCATTCAGTTACAATGTATGTTTATTTTAGTTTGTTCTTTTTTAAATGTAATTCTGAATTTGCAGATAATGGTAATCTTATAACCTTGAAAGAAAGTTTTTAGTATCTATACATTTATACCAAAAAAAAAAAAAAAAAAAACCCTCGCCGCCAGATGGCACTGTTGTTCCAATAACTGTATGGTCATTCTTTCAGGAACCAAAAAACTACTTCGTTTTTCTTTTAACAGTGCAAATGCATGAACGATAAAAACAAAAAAATGAAAACTAATGGAGATTTTTTTTATGTCATAACAATATACATTCTGAATAGGCCTATATTTAATGTTTTTCTTTAATGTTTCATAAAGGTATTCTGCAGCAGTTTTGCAGTAAAATGTACTAATGATTTCATTATCATTTTTGTCACCATTGTTTCTTACGCCAGGTGGTTATAAACCTTAAATTAAAGGATATGCTTTTCAAAATGTGTTTTATTGGTGATTTTCAGATGCTCGAATGTGAAATATGTGTCATATACCTAGATCGGGGGCAGGAGCCAAATTTCCCTATTAATTACATTGTACTTTGCCATGAAATATCTAAAAGGTAAATTCACAAATGCTTAAACTGGTCATTTCTTTTAGTGATTAGACCTAAGAACACACTGTATTACAACACAAATCTGCATTAGAACAATATTCATTTTATCTGAGCCCATTTGTAGTAATAATTATTATTCGCCTATAGAGTGTTGTGATGTCATCTGAAACCCACAATTTAAAAAATGCTAATTGTGAAACAATTACACAATAAATATCATCACAATTTTTTTGTTACAACATTTTAAATATTGGAACATGCTGAACATAATGAAATACACAGGCTCAAGTTGGACAATCAAATAAATCCTGTGATTACTATTCAGGTCATTCACAATGAGTTTCAGTTCAATGACAAATGTCAAATGGCTCACAGACAGTTTTTACATGAAAGCAATAACATTATGCAGTGTAGCCTTTTAAACAATGGTCTAAATACACTAAAAACAATTATTTAAACAAATACTATAAAGAAAAGAAATGTAAATTGTAGTTCATTGCAAATATTTACACTTTAAGAAACTCTGGGTTCCTTCTGCAGCTTCCACATGTTGTTTAAAGGGCCTATGTAATGTTATTTTCTGATCTAGATTATAATTTTCTTTCCTCATCACTGACACCTGGAGTTGTGTTTTGTTTTATGCACACATTTAACACACAATCCCTGCATATTTAGGCTGAGTTCTTCTCTAAAACAGAAAACATTCTGTTTCACTCAGTGTCATGACGTAATACAGGAAGTGCTGCACTGTGTTATAAACTCCATATACCTTCACTAGAATCAATTTGAATCATTTCAGAGCCGGAATTGCACATTTACTGAACAAAAGGTAAAAGGTAGCTGTTAACTACCGCTTCATGACAAGACAATGGGGAACAGGCCATTTTGAGCTTTGGAGATGAAAACAGACTAATACTAAAGAATAACCAAATGTGTCAATTAAAGAAAACACTAGGGCTGTAGGACTTTCATTTAGTTGATTAATCGGTCAATGGTGAGTAGGTCAACCATAATTTGTAATAGTCGACAAATTATTTTGTTTAGATTTTAAGGATTTATATGGAACAGTTTTGATGATTTTGGAGTTAATCTAAATTTTTACACATGAATACACGGTTTCCTAGTACTTTTTTCGGCATAAATAGCTGTTTTTGCATGATCTCCCATGCACTTAGTTGTGAGTGAAGTATGGGTGAAATATATAGATATATGCAATCTGCAGTTTATAATGAAAATATTTCAGTACTGTTGAAAATGTTTTACTGTAATTAGTAAAATAGCAATTTGACTCTTGGGAAAGGTTTGGTTATAGCCTACTCTTCTCAGTGTGAGAAGGCTAGGAAGTGACAAAGTTTTAACTAAAGCTAAACGGTACTCATGCATTTTATGGTATACCCACATCTTGGTACATAGAACAAGAAGCCTAAAATTTACACTGTAAATGTATATAATATTTGCATTAATATCCAAATTGATTTTCTGATTAGTATTTTTTAAGCCGGGTGTTGTGTCATGAGAAAGCCTAGGGCTAAGAGCTCGTCTAAGAGTTTAAGGATGGCCTCTTAAGACAAATGGTTCCTTTAGTGTTGTTGTTGAAGTTATCATATTGGTATAGTGGTGCTTATAAAGCATCAATAACCTAGACAGCTGTGCATTTTATAGTTTAAACAGCCGGGCAAGAGCAGACAGATGCCAATTACGGCAAAAACATACAAAATACTGATCAGATAATCTAATTATTTGCCAGTCTTATCCTCTTGATGTTTAGTTTGATCTATTTTGCTTAGACAGTGTAAAACAACTCCTCTGACTGGTATGGATTGAGCACTCACGTGGTGAAAGCAATGAAATGTGGCACTATAATGAGCTAGGGTTTCCTTCTAGACTTCTCAAGCCACTCCCCTGGTGTATTAGAGGAGCATTAGTTTCAGGGAAGAGAAATGATCCCAATCTAGCGTCTGCTTGGTTTTCCTATTTGGAATGTCTGCGGACAACAGACAATCAACCATAACTAGATCACGAGTATGACATTTTGCTCTTGTAAGCAGAAATTAACGCTTCATTCCCCTTTGTCGGCAGAAATTCAACACTATAACCTATGAAAGCTCTCCCAGGCATTAAAAGTGGAAAACCAATTATGCTTAACAGTGCCTGTAAAAAAATACATTTAGCCCTACCTAATTCTGTAGGTAAAATACTTTTGATGCTTGGTGACAATAGTTTAAGATGATACATAGGCCATAGACTTTTTTCAGATAAACAGGCTGCTGCAATGTATGTCTTATTTATGCTATGGAGAAGAAATTAAATTTGTCAAAAATACACTTTCTTGTTAATTGCAGGTATTAAAATTATTTAATTTTAATACCTGTTTCTGTAATTTTAATTTCCAGTAGAAAATATGATATGAAGGGCCGTTCATATGCAATTTATCTACTCGATTTTTTATTTACCTTATTTCCCATGAAGGCAGCAGACATTGGCTTAACCTAAATTCATATTAATTTGGAAACTGGGAAAATAATAATAATCATAAGCATAATCAGCCTACACCATATTTATTATTTGTTAGTAAGTAGGACAAATAGCCAACTGAAGAAGTTACTTTGATCAGTTGAATCAGTGATAATTGGCTCCAGAGACAGGATTATTGAAATGATCTCATTGTTTATGGTAGCAAGTGCAACATTACTGAGCTAAGTGGAAGTTATATCTTCACAGAGAATTTTTCAAGATCATAAGATCAGATAAGGCTACCTCAAAGATTAGACAATACGTTTGACACCTAAAACAACACATGTAAGAAATAGTGAATAAATAAACAAAACAGGGACCAAGACATGTCTAGGTAGTCTATGAAATATTAATAAATAACCCTTCTAGCTTTGCAGGAAAGTTGCCTATTTTATTCTTTATTCTCTATTTTATAGCCTTTGATCATGTGTCGGAGTCATGTATACAGTCTATGTTCTGTCTCTGAAGTCCTTTGGTGCGTCTTGAGTGAGTAGCATGTGTGTCATCCAATAGCAGCCCGCAGTTTTACCACTGTAGCCAATCAGACTTTACTTCCTGGTCGCGGCCTCTTGCGCGAGTTTGCAGGATGTTTGAGCGGCTCCCGGGCCTCCCCTGCTGAGCTGTGACAGTGGGAGCTGAAGATTTTAACTTGTAAGAGGAATGTAAGACCTTAATCTCACGACGCACTGTCTTTGGACCGAACATATCTGTGGTGCTCACATGGAAACTGATGGATTTGTGAGGAAGCGGCGGATGACAGCGGAGTCGCCAGGCTGGGACCCAGGGGTCGCTGGTGCCTCGGCAGGGGCAGAAGTCCGTTTGCTCGGAGGCAGGTTTTGGGGAGTTTCGGAAAGCATTGTTGGGTCTCTGACACCCCGAATCGGTGGGGAGACGGAAATTCAGACTGTTGATATAATCCGTGTTGCAACAGAACAAACCGAGGACCATGAGCCAGACTATGAGGGGCTGCCACAGGGCGCTTCCACAAGGACTCACATGTTGGCTGGAGCCGTGGCAGGGATCATGGAGCACTGTCTTATGTTTCCTGTTGACTGTGTCAAGGTAATTCCGTAAAGTGGCTGAGATACTCCCTCCAATCTCTTGTGATCATATAAACCATTTCAAAATCAGGCCCAGCGACTCCAATACAGCATGTTTATTAGCATAGCATGCTAACAAGTGTGCGGTGTGCTAACATGCTGCTGGTAATGGACAAGGTCAGCTAGTGCCAGTGCTCAGTAACTCAAAGCATAAACTATGCCACCACATTACTTTGTAAGTGCCGTGCACTTAAATCAATAAAGGATCCAATAATCCATTGACTACACACATAGATGATTAAGATGGTAAAAGTATACCCGACACAAACAAAACAAATGAGGTTACTGCAACTAAACCTGCATCGGATAAGAGTAGAAGTTACTATCTTTTGACAAAAAAGAAGAAATGGCTTTCCATGCCTTTAAAGCAGAAATATATGGAGTTGTGGAAACAAACCTCATACTGCTTATTCAAATACTGTGTAATAGTTGTCAGCCTATGAATTATTAAACTATTTCATGAACATCTATTTTCGTTTCCCTTCATTATCATTCATTGACTTAATGAAAGCATGCCTATTTAAGGGTTACTTTATCACGTTTTTAAAAATTTAAATGAATGCCAAATACGTTTAGTGCATAATGCTGCCAACTATAATGTCAATTTCTTTAGATCCACTTTGACCAGTTACCCCTAAAAAGCCACTCAAAAGATCTTATTTGGTCATGAACATCTCATCCACAAGCGTAGCATGCCCAGCTGCTCTTGTCAGTTGTCAGACTTTAATACCCTCTCTCCATCCATATCTTATACACCTGTAAACACAAAGAAGCTAAATGTCACTGTAACATTTGCAGACTGCAGTCAAAAGCATAAATGATCTTTTGCATGCCATATGTGAAGTAACTTTCAGAACAGTTTTGTATGTTGCACATGTGTGGTAGTAATTTGTTATGGATGGACTATGTCATTTAAATACACAAATTCTTAACTTTGCCTGCGTGTGTATCAAAAGAAGGTGAGAAAATCTGCTGAGTCAGTGGAGCAAAAGACTTTCAGGACCACTATTTCTGTCCTCTTGAGACCTTGGATCCTGTAATACCACATTACTTTTGACTGAATTATGCATGTACAAACAACGCATACAATGCCCCACACCACATTTTGGCAATACAAAATTGTGTTGCTTCATTTTGACTCTGCTCTATAATTGTTTCTTGTTTTCAGACACGCATGCAGAGCCTTCAGCCTGAACCAGCCGCTCGATATCGAAATGTGATGGATGCTCTTCGACGGATTATAGCTACAGAGGGGCTGTGGCGGCCAATGAGGGGGCTGAATGCAACAGCTATAGGGGCAGGACCTGCCCATGCTCTATACTTTGCCAGCTATGAGAAACTCAAAAGGACTCTCAGTGATGTCATACACCCAGGAGCTAACAGTCATTTGGCTAATGGTACCATACACCAAGAAGTACACAAAATCTGTGACATCTGTCTATTAACTTGACTACACAATACTACAGTATGAGCAAACATGGCCATGCACTTTCTACAATCTGCTGCTGACTAAATCTTTTCTGTTTATAGAGCAGGTATTGCCTGTCCTACATTGGTTATTAAATCCGTTGGGCCATCTCAGGGCCAAGTTGTTGATGCACTAACAAAGTACCAGGCTCAAGTGACAAGTATCACACATTCAGTTCAGCCCAAGACCTTAGTCGACCTAATATAACCATATATTCTCTACCTGTTGTCATTTCTTTTAATCTATTTAATTAATATTAATAGAAAGATGGGTAAGTCTTCTTTCCCACATGAATACCTGTATTATTACATTTTTTTACTCTTACATAAATATGATAAGTTGGTGTTTCCATCCAGTCAATAGATTATTGTAGAATCCACATCATAGGTGTAACTGTGTTCCTTGTGTTTTACCACTTGTTTTTGTTTTTTTATTAAGGAGCTGCTGGTTGTGTGGCCACACTGCTTCATGATGCAATAATGAATCCTGCTGAAGGTATAATAATAATACTCATACCTTCTTGTCAGTGATTAAAAGAGGGACACATAGGCGTGTTAGGGTAGTTGCTGAGATGATGCATACCCCTAGGTGTATAAACTGTACACTGAATCTTTGTTGTAAAAAAAAAGAAAAAGTGGGATGCTGCTATGTGTTTGTTCTTTGTATCCATTGGGAATTAGTGCAGAAGTTTAGAGAAAGATGTTTCTAATTTTTGTCATGCCATAATCTCTTTATTATTTGCAGTGGTGAAGCAGCGCATGCAGATGTACAACTCTCCATACAGGGGCGTGTTGGACTGTATTGGTGCTGTGTGGCAGAAAGAGGGTGCTGCTGCGTTCTACCGCAGTTACACTACTCAGCTCACTATGAACGTGCCCTTCCAGGCTTTCCACTTCATGACATACGAGTACCTCCAGGAGCGGCTCAACCCTCACAGACAGTACAACCCTTCCTCTCACATGCTGTCAGGTGCTCTGGCAGGTGCCATCGCAGCGGCAGTGACCACCCCTCTGGATGTGTGCAAGACCCTGCTCAACACACAGGAATCCTTGGCTGTCAGCTCCATGTCCTCTGGCCAAGGCCCTGGTCAAGGCCAAGGTGCCCACAGACACATCTCAGGCTTAGCCCATGCTTTCCGGACGGTCTATAGGCTGGGTGGCCTGAAGGGCTTCTTCAAAGGTGTACAGGCGAGAGTCATTTACCAAATGCCCTCAACAGCAATCAGCTGGTCAGTTTATGAGTTCTTCAAGTATGGACTCACTAAACATCAACATAACAAGAGGAGAACACAGACACATCTGGAGGCAGAGATGTAAACCAGTTTCTGTTCATCAGTGTAATCTGCATTACCTGTTCTTCCTCTCTCAGGTAAAGCCAATGAAAACATGTTAGGCACCACCGTTTCACATAAACCTGAATAAGTTTTTCTGACTAAGAAATCATTTGCACAGTATTAGGTTTTTGGTGTCTATAAGCCATTTTAAACGCACATTTGTTCAAACTGAATAAATATCAAACACGCACAAGCTTAATAGTTGTATATTGTTCCAGCAGAGGGCAGTAATAGACTATATTAGTGTATTAACTTTGCTATCACGGTTTGAACCTCTAGTTTTTGTGGTAAATACAGACAAATCCAAAGCCTGTTGTTATTTACAAATCTAATGTAAATGTGAATTAAATAGTATAAAATTAAACAGAGAAAGCTAATGCAACACAATGTGTGAATGCAAAACATTGAAAATGTTTTTCTCTAATAGGAATGACTGAGGAATCTTTATGCCGTTTTTCCCTTTATGCCTGTATTTGGCAGGACCTACAGCAGTGTTACAGTGGTTTCTTTGGCTTATAATTAATTGCGAAGATACTATTGTGAACAACTACTGAATTTTCATATACTTTGTATCCTATGTTAGCGGAATTTTGAAGCTGTCATTCTTTTCAGCCATCTTTGTTTCTGACACTGAATTGCACTGGCTTAATAAATTATGCACAGTGGATTTGATCTGTTTTTTATAATTATTTTTGAGCTTCAGTGGGTTTGTAGTGGGTGAGCACAGAGATGAGTGCATTCAAATAAACAGTAGTATACAGTAAGTTGCTTGGGTGTAGTTGTTTAGTCTTAACCCCAGGTGCAAACTCAACTTTGACCCACAATCCATTAACATTGCTTAAATGCAGCCATGCCCTATTCTTCTGTGTCTTTAATCAGAAACTATAACTCTTAAGAATACATTGAAAAATGACTGGTTAAAGGTGTGAAAAGCTTATTGATTATGCCACAGTTGAGAACTCTGAACTAAGTTTATCCTTATGTTCTATATATTATTTGCTAATATATGGCTATAAATTAATTTTCTTTGAGGACACTTAAAAATGACCAATATAGAATGTAGGATCTCCAAACTGTTGTATGAGTCATCATAGACAAAGGCACTTCCTTTTGGCGTACTCCCATCTGGCAGCCTGTGCATTAACTCATTAACTTTAGCCGACCAAATATAAAAAGCACCGGAATAAACAGACACAACAAGACAAATGGCTGTTCTGAATCTATTTTCTCTCAGCTCCTGCGCTATTGTGCTTAAAGTTTTAATGAAATTAAATCCTTTGTTAACTTTGTTGATGCTACCTGCCCTTTTCCTGCCACTCAATACAAAGCCCGCAATTACACTCTCATAAAGACTCTGAATTAACAATAAAGCCATCATGGAAATAAAGGTACGTGGGTGAAATTATTTGTGCAAGAGTAAAACAAATATTGAAAATAAGTGTACATAGAAACTACAACAACTACCAGTAATGATTATTATTATTAGACTGCACCTGACAATATGGCTTCTCTTGGCTGCCAATTGTATCAATTTACAAATATTATTGTACTTGAGTGGTAACCTACTTTAAATGTAACCAAGTAAAAGGACTGTCTGCTAAACTGGCTCAGTTGTTTTAAAATTGTATTGTTATATCATGATCTATCCTGAAAACATATAATTTTCCATATCATTTTCCATTTATCATAAGGTGCTGTTAGACCAGATTTGTTTACCCTTGCAGTTTCTAGTATATTATAATCCATTGCTATCAAACCTGAAGTCCAAGCACAAAAGCTCTGTAAGGCTCCATTGCACACACAAACCCTGCTTACACCATGGGTACTTAGGAATGTGAATGCTTGGAGGACTACCTTGTGCGCCTGTGTGCTGTTCTTATCTGGACATTTATGAATCTCAGGTTGCTTTTCTTGTCATTCTCTCTCCATATTTTAGGCCAAATGATGATTGCAGCGATCAGTTTGAATTGGTGAGAGGTGCAACAGTCAACTGTTGTTTTTCTCTCACTATAATCTAATGGATGAGGCGAGGAACCAACTTAATACGACACTCTGTATTTCAACTAACTCTCACCAACCAACCCTACTATCTGCTTCTTTTTCATTTTTTAAAGGTTATTTGTCTAGGTTGACACATATTTCCCCCTTCCCCCGTGCAATCATCTCCATTTATCTGGACTGTAAAAAAGGAACCTTTTCAGGAATTTAAATTGAGATTTAAACAATCAATATTGTCTTGTGGTTTACTTTAATTGCTCTGAGTGATAAAACATGAATTACATGTTTTGTAATTCGTGTACTAAAACAACAAAGCATTGTGCATGTAGCCTACTGTACCAGTTGTGGCTTGAATGTCTCCACTCGTGCTGTAGAGAGTGATGCGGGGGAGATGTCCTGTCAACACTTACAGAACAAGCTGGAGAGAAGAGATTCTTCCCACCACCAACACCAAGGCTACAAGGTAATTATGAACACATACATATTCACTCAAAAAAACAGCTGCTCCAATGAGTTAGTCAGAGCTTTGCCTCTGAGGCTCAAGTCTGTTCTTATATAATACAATAAAATAATGCTATACTTATATCTTATTCATAAACCTGAGAAGTGAAAAAATGTACCACATGAGCAGTGTAAAGAGATGATACAAAGTCAGTCAAAGACATCTGAGGATACAGACCTCAAATGACCAAAAAAGCATTTTTGGTCAATGATGCTTCCATTGTTGCAGAAGGCGTAGACCTCAGACTGAAACGTACTTAGGGCTAATTCAATCATGATCAAAGGGGTTAAACCCAAACACACACTTGTCTAATGATGCCTGGGGCCTTTGGGACTGAAGTGTGATGAACTGCAGTATTGTTACACATCAATGCAGGTGTGCAGTACTTTCTCTCCTCTGCTCTTCCTTCTGTCCAGATGTTGTGACAAAATGAGACCAAAGTCTTTTTCTCCCAAACACCTAGCACAAATACACAGGCTATGGAGCCCCAGTGGAGCTCTCCAGTCACTGCCTCAGACTAAATGTGAAGGTATCTGTCAGTGCAATGGAGGCATAGGGACACTACTACTCCTGTGGGTGTGCACATGCACGTGCACATGCACGTGATGAACACAGGTGCAGTCAGGGACACTGAAGAAACAGGCCTCCTGCCCTTTGAACTTGATCTTGAAAGAAAGCTGTCTTCCTTCCTGTCAAGAAAGTTAGTGCTATGCCTTGGAGCATCTGTCCAGTTTTGCGTCTAAACTACATCTCTCGTCATACTCTTGATTTATTATTTTACATTGTCAAAATGGCACATGCTTACCAAATATACACAATATGGTATATTGCTTGCTTCTCACAATGTTGTCTATGTTATTCTTTTGTTCAACCTAATCAGAACTATCCTACCTAGGACTTGAAGCAATACATTGAGAAGAGTTAATTGCATTGATAATGTTATTGGAGTCAGATACAGCTAAAATGCTTTGAAACTACTGTATAGACAGAGTAGGGAGAGTTGTAGGGAGGTTTGAGAGGTGTAAGTGGGGCCTGAGTACTTCTGTATCGGTTTTCTGATAGGAGCTGCTCACTGCTTGTCTTATCTTCTCCTATCAGCACTAATTAAAACATTTGAATTCCAGCAACCAGTTTTTGGGGAGTATGTTTCTGTCTTTATGGGAGCGGGATGTGCAAAGTAGTAGTTTGGAAGACTTCCTGCCCATTTTTAAAGGGCAGCTATTTTACATTACAGTGTGAAGTTGAAATAGCCTCATTTGTGAACACATGAACTGTTAAGGTGCTAAATGGACATATTTCAAAGGGAAGTTCCCAGCCACACACTGAAAAGCATAGGTCTCAAGTTTAACCTCCAAGGTACTTAAAACTGCGGTAGGCAGGGTCTTATGCTTCAGTATGGGGCATCGCTTTCCATAATAACCTTTCAGGCGAACAGTGGTTCAAGTGGACTTGGGGAAAGTTGCACCTCAGCCCTGCTCTTTTTCTAGCTCAGGGAGCTTCAGAATTGTATCACCCCTCTTTTCATAGAGCACTGTATGAAACAGTAAATGACAGCTGTGTTGGCCAGTCGCTTTTAAGGCACTTCACTGCACAGACATAGTGGCTCCAGTGTGACAGAGAAGTCAAATGGCAGCTGGAGATTGAATACTCTGCTTTTGTTTTTTTTTCTCTTATTGCATGTTTTTCATGACAAAAACTAAGATACTGTTATTGTGTGTAATTTATGGTATCATCACTGAATAATAAAAATATTCACAATGAGTGTGAATCTCAAACTGGACATTTTACAATCACGAGAATATAGAAAGCTCTGTTCTACATAATAATGAAATAATGTACATGCTTTACGAAGGAAACATATTCCTCTTCTATATTTATTTATTTAATTTTTTTTTTTTTTCATAATAGGTAAATCCGCTCAGACTCCTCAGTAAAGCTCTCCTAATGGCCAGTGCAGACAGGGATCCTGATGTGCTTGGACTCTGGGTGGGCTCATCTCTCTGTCCCCTATAATCCCCCCACTGACCTCTGCTCCTGCTCACACTAACACATACCTGGAGAAGCCAAGGGTGTTTGCACACAGCACCAGTGCCTCTAGTGAACAGGATATGGTAAGTGATACAATATAGAGTCAGATATAAAGCTCTGTGATTATTAAGGTTATTAAAAAGGTTTTATGCTCTAGCAAAATTATGATTCTTGTACATGATTTTATGATTATTAATATTATCAATACTAAAAACCTTAACATTTAAAGTAAAGCTTTATAAGTAATCAAGCACCTTTTTTACATGTATAGGCACAACTCTGAGGACTGTATATTTTTTTAAAGAAACAGCAAAATAAACACACGACAAAGTTATTTTGTGACTAATTGAGTTGCACACAGCTTTGCGAAGCACACGCCTATAAAAGACTCTGAGGTACAGTGGTATGGATTTGTCAAACGAAGCAAGTGTTGGCAAATGTCTGATGTGATAACACTGTTACCATGTAGAAAATGAATCAGCATATTTAGTGAAATGAGCCTCTCCACATCTCTCATGTTGTGTACAACAGTATAATGCATATCACTGTAGTGATGATGGGGTCACGCTGATGGATGTGTGCTGCCCAAGGGGAGCCCAGTCTTATAGTTTCACTGTAAATGTTTACATTCCTCCAAACTCTGATACCATCTACTAATAGTTTCTGTAGCCATCCTAAATAGTCCTCTGGGTAGGATTAAGAGTCCAGCAAATGCATTAGGAAAACACACTACTACCTTGTGCTGTCAAAAAAATTCAAATAATTTCTTCTGTCGAGTAAAGAGTTAGCTTGGTGCACATGGCACTGTTGTGAGGTGTTTCCCATACATTTTGTTATAAATCATTTTCACTTAGTCTCAAAGCAGGCAGCACTTTTATTAAGAGAGCATTAGTAAAATCAACAGGCCTCTTGACAATAATTCCTGACACAAAAGGCTGATCGGAAATAAATTCATAATTGCTCCTCAGCAGACCTTAGAATGTAGTCAATAGATGTTGGTTTTAAAAGTGCAGCCAAGCACAGATCAGGTACGTACAGTTATTTTACTTTACAGGCCTCACCCTCAACATTCCTCTGCTCAAAGACAACAGGAAATCATTTCTCCTCTCACTCTAAAGAACACTTGTACAATGATTAGATGCTTTGTTAAGTTTTATAGGGAGATTCATGGGTGGACAGACTGAATACACTGTGTGCTTATGTGATTGTGACTGTACAAGATGCACAATTTCAAGGATTTGATTTTGACTGTATTTGATTCATGTAACTCAAAGAATGTTATTTACATTCTTAAAATTAATACTAATTACATTTTATTTCAGTATAAATAATATAACAGATAACTGATGATGATCCAGATAATTTGGATTACTGAAATAATTCTTCATTCTTTTGAAGAAAAAACAAACATCTTTAATAGCTTTTGTGCAGTTCATAGAGGAAACTTCACTGAAATTGTTTTATAAGTATAAAATAACTAATAGACTGTGAAGTAAAGACTAAACATACAGCATACATATTTTGTTAATGTACTTAAATATACTACCTTGGTAGAATTTAATTATGGTATTCTCTACCATAGTCTTCTCATATTTAAATTAATTTTAGACATTAGGTTTGGATCATCGGTTTTCACTGCATATTTGATAATTACAATTATATCTTATGAAACTTTGAAGTAGGGCTACAAGTTGCAACCCTTTCACAGCTTTGTTAAATTACAACGCCACCCATTAGTGAACAATAAAACTCCTCCTATTCAAACCTTGAAGGCTGAATGAGAATATGTTATTAATGTGACATTTACTATTTGAACCACACAGCTCGTTTTGTTTGATTTTTTTTTTTCCCCCTGCTGCAAGCTAGATTTATATTTAAATGCTGGTCAGACCGAAATAACAAACATAGGTCAATCAGAACACAATATTCCCGGTGAACAATCAAGAAAAGCACTAAAACCAAGAATCCTCCCGTCGGAGGTGGTTTACTTCAGAGTTTAGCATGTACTGCACCCATTCAGGACTCAAGGTTTGGCGGCAGTAGTGCGCACACTGGTGACACTGGTAGAATTGAGAGTGTAGGTGCGCATTGTACATTGGCACGGTCATCATATGTGCCTCTTGGCCGTCCCTCACCAGCACTCTGACCGCTACTCTCCGGGGTGAACACGCGCCAAACTCGGTCACGGTCTCCCGCCGTTTGGTTTTATATCTTCGGTTCTGAAACCAGATCTTCACCTGCGTCTCTGTGAGCTTTAGGGCCTCTGCTAAGTCGGCCCGTTCGGGTCCGGAGAGGTACCGCTGCGTGTTAAAGCGGCGCTCTAACTCATACACCTGCGTTTGGGAAAAGGCCGCTCTGGAGCGTTTCTTAGATCCCGGCTTGGATTGTGTTTCCGTGGATAAAATAAGCGTGTTCCTGCGATGCTCTCCATCTTGAAGACTCCCAGACGAAAACTGAAGGTCTATAACACACACACAGTGAAGTCGCGGTCAGTCATAGAAGTACTATCCTACAATTTGGCCTCAACAAAACATAATTGATCATAGCAAGTCTAGGCTTAAACTAAATACAGAGATGACTTTTTATATCGGCGCTGACCACACAAACGTGAGTGACTGTCCTGTAACAGTCTACAGCAAAATCTCTAAACTTCAAACAAACAGTACAGTCTACTCACCACCTGCGTCTGCAGGGTCCTCCAGCGCGGCCTCTCCGCTGCAGGTTCCTCTGGAGAGAATCCCGTGGAGCGCGTGTGAAGAAGTCGAACTCCTCTCTATGCGAAGTTTTCTGCGTCTTTTTCCGCGGTCTTCTTTCCATCTTCATCTTCAGGGGTGAGGATGTGCTTAATCGAAAATGTTGAAAAAGTCATAGTCATAATGAATAGGCTACCTCATTCACTGATGTCTCTTTCTTTTGCATGCAGTGAATTAGGGTAACTGTCCAGGCTAAAGTGACAACATCATCTGTGAGAAGAAAACTGTCAAGTCTAATAAAATATTCCACGTAATTACCATTCAAGCCTGACTTTTATTGGCTTGCTAAAGACCCTCCTTTGTCCCGCCCAACTGCATGTGTCATACACAGTTTGAGATGAGCAGGTAAGCTGCTTATTAAGTGGCTTGTTTTTGGTAACCGAGTCATATAGCATAGGTAACTTGTTAAAATGTGTGGTTTGTATTCCATTAGAACTGGGAATCACGTTTTGGCTTTCGTGCCTAAAAGTCTGATAGTCTGAACTCACTTCTTTGATACTCATATTTAACACACAACTTTCGGCAAAGATTTCGTCGTCATCAAGTTTTTGTAGCAGTTCACCAGCGCCCCTATGTGGGCAAACATTTCTAATGTACACTTGAATTAACTGAAATTGAGTAATGACAGAGATAGGCATTTTAGTCTAGACATATAAAACAAATTCAGTCTTTCAAAGATGGGCTTCTTTTACTTAATACTCTTACTTACTACTAGGCCTACCTAGGCTTCTACTTTATTATTACTAATAAGAAATAATACTGATATTATTACAATATAATAATATATAATAATAATAATAATAATAATAATAATAATAATAATAATAATAATAATAATAATAATAAGTGAGTTTGATCTTGAGTGACACTCATTTATTTGTATTAATTGTATTTTATTTTATTATTATTTATTTTATTTTTTTTTCAATTCAAGATCTGCTCAGGTCCATTTGGAGGTCCACTGGTGCTCATAGGCGAGACCATGTCTAAGCAAAGACTGAGCTGCTATCTTTGGACGCGGCAGATAGCGATCACAGCTTGTCAGGGCAGCCATGTCCAGGCTGCGTCCTCAGGCATCGCCGCGCTGTCGCCAGCACTATTTACACGAGTGGCTTCGCAGCACTTAACGCTGACAACAGGTATGTCCTACCGCTGCAGGAGCCACAGGAAATGGCCAGAGAAGCCTTCACTGCAGTCTCCACACAAACACTCTGTTTACGTTTCCATTCATCTCCATTAATAAGTGTGTTCTCCTCAGCCTATAGTCAGCCATCAGCCCAAGGGTGCATGTTTGGTTTAACCAATTAGCGCACGTGTCAGAGCTCTATGTTATATTAGGCCTATATTATTATCTATTAACCGAGAATATTATATTATTTACTATTATTTATTAACCCATTTGTCACTAAACAGAGCGACCTGTCCAAACCATGGGCATATTTTATTAAGTCTTATTCTGTACCCCTTTGAAAGAAGAACAAATCGGGAGTTTATAGTGGCGCATGAATTCGCCGTGTGAGTCCTGAGAATGAGACGGTCTGGTTAATGTCCATCTCAAAAAGTTGACCGGACATTGGCTCAGAGGATCCTCTGTTTCTGGATCTTGTCTCACCAAAGTTCCCCACAAGTTTTCTCACAGAAAAGAAATATTCGTCTGAGACTCCAAACTAAACATCACCGTTTGAGACCAATGCAGAGATTTATGGATCGAAATTTCCTCCTACCAGCCACATAATGGCCTGTGCTTTCCAATATTTCACTTTCCCGTTATGCAAAAGCACTTCACTAGTTTACGTAGGCCTATTTGTTTAATAAAACAATCTGATATGCTCACACAAAAATAGCATTGTTATTGCCACCAATTAATTTGGTAAAACGCTTTAAATCGGTTTTCTAGCCATTGAGGCATCTCAAATCAAAATAAAAACAGGATTGCCTATCACATTAGAAGGCCTTGTTGGCTAGTAGACTATAGCTTTATTTTTTAGTTTAAAGGTTACACTTCATGTCTCCATAAAGTCAGTTTTTGACAGTTTTTGTAGCGAGAACTTCCACTCACACAATAACTCGCTGTTACTTTTATAACATGGCTCAGAGAAAAGCGCGCTCCATGGCTCAGTCTGAGGGTCATAGGCCCTGGCGTACAGTTTCAAATGATTGTCTTTTGTTCAGTCGCTAAATACTTATTTAACACTATTGTTTCCCCTAAATATGAACATAAAGGCCTACATGCTCGCGTCTGTAGCGATAGTTCAAAATAGTTCATCACTGGTGCACGTGCGCTACCAGGCCCGGATTCCTTGTAGTGATCCCTGGCATGGTCCTGGACCTTGTGGGCTCTGCGTCTGAGCCTGTCCTAAGTTGCCCAGGCTCATAAAGGCGTTGGTAGTGTTGGTTGGCGGCAGGGTGGGTAGGCTGGAGTAGGTGCAGGAGTAGCTGTTTGTGTAGACCGCATTGCTGTAGCTGTATGTCGGATAACTGTAGGTATACGGAGGGTACGAACTGTTATAGTTCTGAGAGCCCGCCACACACGGCCTCCCGTCACGCACCAGCACTGGCACGGCTACTCTGCGCGGGGGTGGCGGTACATGGTGATGGTGACCTGCCATCTCCAGTGTTTTGTCTTGCCTCTGCCGCTTGCACTTGTAGCGCCGGTTCTGGAACCAGATTTTCACTTGTGTGGAGGTAAGTTTTAAGGAGCTGGCCAAGTGCTCGCGCTCTGGTGCTGAGAGGTAGCGCTGCTGTTTGAATCTCCGCTCCAGTTCGAACACCTGCGCCTGGGAGAAGAGGACGCGCGGCTTCCTCCGGGTTCGTGGCTGTTTTGAGACCGGCTTCTCGGGGTCTGGGTCATCATTGTCGGTCCGCAGCGCTGCGCAGCTCTCTGTGGCACAGGGACAAACCACTTACATCAGCACACGCCTTACTGACATCTCAGCGAATGTGTTTTGCAAATATGGCTATTGCAATTCTTTCTTTCTCTCAACTCTTGTATTGGACCAAACGGGTTTTTATCAAATTATTCTTATTTAAATTTGTTTAGTTATATAGGCTACCTTTGGACTTCTATTAATTAAAGTATTTGTATTACATTATTATATATTAGACTACTCTTTACAAGATTACGTTCTGAGGTTTGGGGGAAAATTCTAATCCCAATTTGCACAGATTACATTTTTAGAACAAGGTAAATAATTTCCATTGACCTTAAACTGGGCTCACTCAGTGGCTCTGAACACATTGAACCCAATGATCTGAACACATTCAGTCTAACTCATTCATTTACACTGACGATGGAATGTGAAAACAAACCAAGCTCTTTAGAATAATGCACCATATGCAAGCATTTATTTTGGATCAGTCAGAATCTGTGCACGTTAGCTTGTTTGTTTTATATCGGCTATATGTAAATTATGCATTGACACATAGCTGTTTATATGGGCTATTTGTATACTATGCCTACAATGTTAAAATATTAATATAAAAAATTACAGGACTGATTCATGACAATTTTATGCGTTTTTACGCAAGCTGAAGAGGCTTCCAACTCAGGGTACTCAAATAATTAACCATCTAAATAAGCGTTTAAGTACAAGGCCTAATACACCGGTGTAATTAAAGTATCTTACTCACTTGAATCTATGTCTTCTTGCTCTATGTCAAGCTGGAGCTCGGTGGAGTGTGCGCGGTTGCTTCCTGGGTTGGAGAAGATATCTACCGACAAAGCAGACTCCTGTGCGTTCACGGCGCTCAGGTACATGCGGTCGTCACACTCTGACAGGTTGGGGCTGTTAGGACTCGGGCTGTTTCTTGAGGCTAGCATGCAGGACGGAGGTGAGTGCGACCGGATCGGTCTGTTCATGAAGGGCCCCGGCTGAGCCAGCGCTCCCGAGAGACCCAGGCACGAGATAAACTGCAGTTGGTGCTGGGATTGCTGCTGCAGCTCCAACTTTAAGATATCTTTTACGGAGAAAGGCGTGGTGGATATGATCGGACTAGGGAGCATTGTCACATCCACTACATAGAAAAGACAGACAATATTCAGTCAAATCGCTAATACCTTGAGTGGCGTATCCAGGTTGTAAGAATATGCCGAAACGTGCGTAACGTGCTCGGGCGTAAAGCTTTTGTGCGCCGCCTGATCGGCTGTGCGTCAGTTGAACAAGGTCCACCTTCAGCTGCTCATCTGTTTGCGTGAGTGTGTAATCGAGAGGTGGATCCAGTTTGGTCGGCTCAGAGCAGTGATCTGAGAAAAGCTGGGTCAGCCAAGATGCTGTCCTCTCCCCAGTGACGCGCTGTTCAGGGAGGGTCCGCTCTGCCTCTCCCGTCTCCATACACTGTGTGTATCTCAATAACAAAACACAGGCCTAGCGATGAGAATTCTCATATATCTTTGTTGTTGTAGCTGCGTTTATTAGACATAGTGGGCCGTATGGTTGAGCACAAATTTTGTGCTATAAATTGCAGTGTATTGGAAATGCGTTTATCAATGTAGCTGGTGTCTAATGGACACCAGCCACGACCAGACAGATCTCCCCATCACTTCAGTTTTTACGCTATCTTTGCTTCCTGTTGTGGTAAGATAAAATGCGGCTTGTGGAGAAATGCATGGTTAAGAGCAATAAAAGCTCACGTTAACTAGTCTAAATTATAATGAAATAAAGACAACAACAACAACAACAACAAACAATAATAATAATAATAATAATAATAATAATAATAATAATAAATAAAATAAATTAATAAATAATCTACGTTAAAGATTTTTTTAGTTGGTTTCAAAACGATAGAAGCTTAACTGGGGCGTAAAAGTGCCATTTAAGTTGCCTTAAACAAATAGCCTAAATATTAGGCTTATATTTAGACATTTTTTGATATGGAATAATGTGTTACACAAGAAATTGGATTTGCAAAACGAAAGATTAAGATAATTAGGCTATTATGTGTGTAAAAATTTTTAGGACCCATTTTAACGTCTGGCTGTATATTATGACATCGATTTTTGCATGCTTGCGATATGCATCACTAATGTAAAGTTTTCGGAGTTTGGCCTGCAACTTTGCTCCTGTATGTAGAGTAGACTGCACCCAGCGCGCGGGCCATACCTTTGCAGTTGCCCAGTGACCGTCATCGGCGTCTCGCGTGCCATCGGCCACCCGAAAGTGTTCGGCGGAGCAGCGTGTTTACGGAGCGGAAGAGTCTGTTTCCTGCCTGTAACAAAACCCAGGCTCACAGCGAGTGTCAAGGAGCTACTCGATGCTGGATGTGACTCTCCAATACATCATCTTCATTTCAAAATCAGTGAGATAAGAGAGGTAAGGTCAAACCCCCATTAGAGGTCAATGCTGATAGGCCACAGAACTGCTGAGCACGAGAGCAGTGTTTTCATTTATACCGATGAGCTAGATAGCACTGACTTCATGTTTGTTATAAACAATTACTTTAAATGACTTTAATGTTGGCCAATGGATTTAGTGTGTTGCCATAAAGTCTTGGGCAAGTTTCTTCATGCCTCCTTTCACTCCCTATCTATGGCACTCCAACTTGTTGAAGCAATGTCTTTTTGCAAAAGGGCAGGTGTAGCATATATGGTTAGTCCAAATATATTTGCTGGTTAGACAATGTAGGACTTTAAGTCATGAGTCGTGATGACTTGATTATTACTAGGCTACAGTTACCCACTAAAATAATAGGCTTGACTGTCTCTGTAGTTTCCCTGCCAATGTCTTTTCAATGCCTTGACATAACTTTTCATGCATGGCTTATACTCTTGGAATATTAGATAGGAAGGATTCACTCCTGTGATATAGAGTAAGTGGTATTTCTTTTCTATTTTATATATTTTTACATAACTTTAAAATATAATATTTTTAAAATTATACTTTTTCATAATCCATTTCAAAAGATATGTGTACTTTTTGCTTTTTCTAAATAGATTACACCTGCCTTTCTGGCAAGTTGTTGTTTTCAGGCAAATTCAACAGTGTCATTGTACAGTGCATACATTGTGTATTTGTTTTTAAAAATGGTCTTACTTTGGTCAAAAGATAGTGATGGGCACCCCTCTTGCAAGATCTTATTTTTGCATTGAAAAGGGCTTTGATGTAGTGATACACTGGTATAATCTTTTAAAGATCTTAAAAATACAACGAGGAAAAAAATAAACATTATTTCCATTAAAAGAGCAAGTCTATGTTCTTTCCTTGATCCTTTGGTGAGGTGATGGCAAAGGCCCAAAGCGCTTTGTGTTCATTGCTGCTCTCAGTTGTTTCACGTCCCGGAAGGTAAGTCTTATCAGCCGCCCAGTGTGGTGGTGTCAGTAGCCAGGGCCTAGACGCTGCTATTGTGCCGCTGCCTGAGCTCGAGTGACGGATGACAGAGGCTTCTCACTGGAGGAAATGAGGAGGCCATGGAGGCGAGCTCCAGGACTGAGTTCGGCTTTAACCCTATTCTCACACACTTACCTTGAGTTCTCCAAGTTCTACGTAAACAAGAGTAGCTAAAGATGAGAGAGTAAATCTGGCCTTTTTCAGAAGGTAAGAAAAGGATGTCTTAATTTGGTGATTGGTTATTGGTGTTTCATTGTGGAGTCTATCGCTGGGACCATGAACAGAGGAAGTGAACTTGGTCAGGCCAGTCTGGGTCCCCTGCCCTCTGGCCTCCCTTGGGTGCTATAAATTAGACTGTTGTAATTCTCTTCCAGACGGCCTTGCCCCAGCAGGTGTGTGTTTGTATATGTGAGCGCTAACAGGAGGGTGTGAGGACTGTGATCTACGGTGTTGGGAATGCGGCTCGGAGGAAGCATGC